TATTTGCAATGAAGTACGTTTGGAGGGTATCTTATTAGGGACCGAATTTCAATATTTGATATACATACTCAGTTTTTACTTTTGAAAGAAGCCTCTTAGGGACTGAATTTCAGTCATTAATAGACTTACGATGGTTTTCATTTTTAAAGAAACTTATTAGAGACTGAATTTCAGTTTCTATAGATTTGCACCAATTATAAGTTTAGAGGAAAACTTATTAGAGACTAAATTTTAGTCTCTAATAAACATATATTAAATTAAATGTTTAAATAATTCGAAAGCTATCTTTATTCCATTTATTAATTATTTTCATTTTTTTTATGTCCCCTTCTCGTTTCCCCCCAAAACTTTCATTTTAAGAGCCTTTTATTTTTTAATTCCCTCCTATTCTCCCACTCCCCTCTCACGGATTTATCTCGGCTGTCATTAGTTATATTTTCACAACACCCGCAAATGGCAGTCATGCCCAACCAAAAAACTCTATAATCCCTAACGACTAAAAACCCTCTGTTCATCGCTGCCGCACCATCAATCCACTCCACTGTCGCAGATCCTCGCTCTCCACGTTGCAATTGCCTTCAATGACCTTCGCTCTATGTCGCCACCACCGCTTCGTTGATCTAGCTCGACACCTCTATCCACGACCGTCTCTTCCGCACCCTTTGATATATTTTCCTGATCTCTTATTAAAAATGTGCAATCATTAAATCTCAGAGGTAGGTTTAAGATCTATTGATTTGTTCGGAGAAAAAACGTCTGCAATTATAGATCATTTCTACTTGATATTTCTCAGACAGTCATTATTTGTCACTCAAACAGTTTCGTGTGTCTGTGTTTGCATTTAAATGCTTGCTTAATGTTTGTTTTTGGGATAAGAGATTCAACAACGGAATATTTCAAGAAAAAAACCGAGACATCTCTTTTTTGGGAGAGGTTTCTTTACTAAAAATAGAATTGTGGAGTGTTTGGCACCTTTATCATTTTTTGCGTGTGTTTTCATGTATTTAGGTCATCTGAGGTTTAAACAATTCTCTATCGCTCTCTCACACAAAAACACAATTACAACACACAATCCCAAGCATAGTTTGCATCTTAGGTTTTTATCACATGTCGTTACAATTCACAGCCTGCACGCAAATGGCATTTACAGTTGCTCAAAATTCCAATAGTTAACAGGCTCTCATTGTTTAGATTAGTAAACGTAATATTGAAGTTTGAATCTGATGTAAAATTTATGATTTCATAGATATGATAGAGAAATGAAGCTATCACATGGTTGATGATATGGCTTATGTTGTTCAAGTTTGAATCTTTTGTTGTATCTGGCTCTAGATTGTTTTTCTATAAGGCTAATGATTTGTTAGAAGAAAATTTCATACAGGGTGGGATTTTTTTTTCCAGTTTCCCCTGTGAAATGGAGGTACTAAAGTGAAAGACATAATGATAGCATATTATTTTCTAGTGGCTTCAAATTGTTAGCAAGTTGATCCAAGTAAGAGATGATGTGTAATGTGTTGAACATTCATGAAGAAAAGTGTTTGTGGGCTTCTAGGTGATATCTATGTGATTTGCAAAATTCTTAAATGTAAGAAAACGGGGGATACATTAAAGAGGACCATTTGGAGAATGCTGTTGGCCTAACATGGAAATCTAATATATTGGACTTTATGTTTACACTTAGAGCTATCTTGTGGGCCAGCTACCTTATATCCATTTATCTATGACCATTGTTTGTTTGTTTCAGTTCAAGTAAGTTATTGATATACCCTTCATTCTAACAGCAACAGTTTGGTATGAAAATGTATATGTAAACAAGAGCTATCGACGAGGGAAGCTAAAACATGGAAGGAAAAGAAAACTCCATTGTGATTTGGTAAGTTTATATGATTTTGGTCATCCCAAGTTTGACTCTGAGACAAAATTTCTGTTAGTTTACATTCTTGAGAATTTTTAAAGGTACTTTAATAATGTAGGTTCTATACATGTAGGGATGTTATGGATAATTATTATAATAACTATTGTATTGTGTTGTAGTATCAACTAATTCACCATTTTTTTCATCTTGTAAGTCACATGAAAGAGTGAAATGGATAATTATTATAATAACTGTTAACTCAAGGCTAAAGCAGCCTTTCAAAACAAAAAAAAGTCAAGGCCAAAACTGCTTGGGACCGAATTTGCAACTTTTGAACAAATACGGTGACCAAAAATGTAATTTACTCTTTTATTTCTTTTTTTTCTCTTTCGCTATTTTCTTCAAAGTTCATTTTTTTGTTGTTTGTGTAAAGAAATATTTGCTCAAAAGGAATGTTAGTTGGGCTCAAAACAATATGAAGACCTCGCTTAAAATGTTATGCCATAATTCATGAGAAAATGGAATGTCTGTTTTGCCATTTAAATATGTTTTTTTATCTTGTTCCATCTTGTTATATTTGACAAAAAAATATGAGCCATATTTTATTATTATTTTCAAATGTAACAGGCTATCATTTTTGGGGCAGGTCAAGATGCTAGTAGATTTTTACAACCAATCAAGTGAAGTAACCTACAACTGGAGGAGTATTTCAGTACTTTCTATCAGTATAGTTGATATTTTTATGTTGATTATACATTTAACTTCAGTTATCTTAAGAATAGATATGTAAAATTCCAATATAAAAACAGTTTCTTTTTGTTATATACATGCTTTGTTTGTTTCTTATTGGCTTCTTCTAATAGATACAAGTATGTAAAAAAAACATATTAGGAACTAAATGACGTTGAATCGTAGACCATTCTCTAAAAAAACAAGGTTAGAAACCGAATGACAGTGTATCTAAAATTGACATTTAGTAACTGAAAAATCATATTAAGGACCAAATGATATTGTATCTGAGACATATTTCGTCCTTTAAAAATTAGGTTAGAGATTGAATGATAGTGTATATGAAATTGATACTCAATCATTGAAAAAATCATGTTAGGGACTGAATAACATTATATCTGAGATTGATATCTAGTCATTGAAAAGTAATATTTAAGACTAAATTAGATAGTTTGGAAGACTAATATTCAGTCCCAAAATGATAGTTTTAAGGAAAGATATTCGAGACTAAACTGAACATGATAGTATCAAAGACTAATATTTAGTCTTTGAAAGATAGTATCGGGGACTAATATGACATAAAATAGAGATGTCAATGAAACATTAGAGACTTAATAATATATTATTAAGAGCTGATATTTAGTCCCTAAAAGATAATATCAGGGACTGATACGACATCAAATTGGGGATTTGATGAAAAAAAATTAGAGACTAAATGAGATATTATCGAAGACTGATTTTCTGTCCTTGATACTTTGATGTATTAGGGACTGATGTTCAGTCTCAGATACATAAAAAATCAACTATCTAAGACTAGGTCTCGGGGGACTCGCTGGGGACTAGCTAAATCAGTCTCTGATTCTCATCAGAGACTGATTATTAACCATCGGAGACTGATTATGTCAGTCTCTGATACCCTTTTTTCTTATAGTGGATATTGCGTTGATTTCTAGTGGTTTCACTGTGAGTAATTACTGTGATTTACATTTTTGGTTGGTTTGTTAAAAGGTTCAATATAATTACAAAAATGGAAAAATTGAAGTATTATGTCTGAATGAATCAAACTGCAGAACAAGTGTATAGGGATCAAAGCAACAGATTGATGGAAATGGAATGTCACATTTTCCTGTTTCTTTGGAGATATATGTATCAGTGTACACTATTGCAGGGTGTCATCCAAATTTAAGATTCCATTTTGATAAACTTACTAAACAATTTGAGTGGTTGGATATTAATGGATTGATTGAGGAAAAGGACAGGGTGGCGGTTGTTCTATATTTTATGGGGTATAGTGAAAGGAATGAGAATGAGAATGCTAATGCTATTGTTCCTTTTCAAGGATATGGGAGTGTAGTTCCATATGAGGTTTTTTTTTTCATCCGGTTAGAAAAAGAAAGCCACAACCTAAAGTTGATCGTCATGATGAAAAGAGTAGAGTTTGTATTTTAATAAATGTTCCACTTTTTAATATTTATGATCTTTTGTAGGTTGGGGCTTTATTTGAAATAATAAAAGGCTTCATTAAAGACTTGGATGACGATGATAATGACCAGGTTAAATAAGTCAATTCATGTTTTCACTTACATTAATATGCATATTATCAGATGTTTTGTATGATGCCATTTTATAAAGGTTTGTATGTTAAATCAAGTTTTTTTTTCTCTTCTTCTGGCTTGTGCAGATGGATGAGGACGATTTTATTGAATAGTAGAATTCGCTACGGAACAATTGGCTACGGAACAAATGGCTACAAAATTTGCTACGGAACAAATAGCTATGGAATTTGCTACGGAACAATTGGCTACGAAATTTGTTACGAAACAAATGACTACGGAATTCATTGTTACGGAATTATTATGGAAGTGTATTGTAGTTGAATTGCTACGGTTAGACGTCGTAGCAACGACCATAGCAAAGTTGCTACGGAACTATAATTTCGTAGTTAAACAATTTGCTACAAGAAATCTTGCTATGAAATCTCATTGACGAATTCCGCAGCAACTTCCGTAGTTAAATCAAAATTTTCTTGTAGTGTTACACCCCTACTTCAAATGTGGAAGGATTGGACATTACGCCAAAATAGATCATTTCAGATAGAGTGGTCATTTTTCAAAAAAAAATTGTGGTTATTATTTTATTTTTTTTGAAATATTATTAAAAATGGTTAGATTATTAATTTAACAAAGAATAAAACCATTAAGATTGGCTGTGCCATATTTAATAGAATTGAGCTTGAAATGTGGTTTTCACTAAACTACTGGACCGTTTCTGTAATTTACTAACATGCGCTTTGAGTCGGTCAAAGCTGACCTAATCTTATTGGTGTCGTGTACTTCGGTTTCCCTCGTTCCAAACTCCTTCTAATCTATCGTTTTGAAACGAAAATTTTGATCATCTCTTCAAAGACTAAAACGCTATGCCGCCTCCTTTGTTTTCTTGCTGCAATTTCGTAAAATGTTCCTTGAATCTCCGTTGGAAATCTATTAGATCCCTTGCCTATACAACGTACTCCGACGTGTCAGAATGGTCTCCGGATACCAATCAGTTATGTCATCGGATTGAAAAACTCAGTAAGTTTAAGGTTATTGAGACCCTGGACCAGATGAAGAGAGAACGGAGCAGTGCGTTGCTATTTGCCCGTCAATTGAAAGAGTCTGGTTTTAAACATGATGTTGAAACTTACATGACAATTGTTCGATTATTTTGTCATTCAGGTACGGATGTAAGGTTAAATCATTTGTTTATGTATGTCATTGAGGATATAAACAGGGAACTTGTTGGTTTTGAAATCTGTGATATGTTAGAAGCATTGATAGAGGAAAAATTGATAAAAGCTGTTGATGTGTTGGTTAAGGTGTATGCAAGTGTTGGAAGGTTCAAGGAGGCGATGCACACCTTGTCAGAGATGAAAAGTAGGGGTGGACTTTTGGTGTCAACAAGAACGTGTAATTTTGTAATGAACGAGTTGATTGAATGGGGGAAAGTAGATATGGTGGAGTCGGTTTACGGACTACTGAAGAAGAATGGGCTGATTCCTAATGTGCATACATATGGGATTCTGATGAAAGGATATTGTAGGAAGGGTCGTTTGATAGAAGCTGGGAACTTGTTTGTAAATATACAATCAGAGGCTGGCGTCGAACCTAATGCTTTCTTCTATGGTACGTATATTCATATGCTTTGCTCGATAGGGCAAACGGATTTAGCCTTTCAGGTAGTAAAGATATTCAGGGAGGGTAATAATAATTTGGTTGATGTTTTTGCATATAATTGTGTCATTCGAGGTTTTGTAAAAGAGTCCAGGCTACAAGATGCAGAAGATGTGTTTCTTGACATGAAGCTTAGAGAAGTTGTCCCTGATGCAGATTCTTACAGCGCATTAATTTGTGGGTATCGTAAGAAAAGGGACACTGCTAAGGCATTGGATATCCGTAAGGAAATGGAATCAAGAGGTATTAAAGCCGATGATGTGATTGTGAGGTCCATGATGCAAAGGTTGTGTGGTTTGGGCAGGCATGCTAAAGCTCTATATAAGTTCAAGGGTTTTATGCACTCTGGGGTTTTCATTGACGGAGTCACGTTTAATATGGCGATTGATGTTGCATGTAAACTAAGGAGAATGGAAGATGCCATGGGGTTGGTAGAAGAGATGAAATTTAGGAAAATGAAGCCTTTGAAAATGCACTATAGGACTTTAATAGATGGATACTGTCTCCGGGGGGAACCTTGGAATGCATTATACATCTTTCAGGAGATGATGCGGAATGGCTTGAGACCAGATTCTACCACTTATCATGTGCTTGCTTGTGGCGGTGTTTTCCTTCCTCTCTTCATGTTATTCAAATAGCTAGAACCTTTTTTTATTTAAGTTGATGGATCGTCTGTTAACATGATTGCTTTCGTCATGTATCTATCCTTTTATTTTTGAAAGTACAACACTCAACTTATGCATGTGTCTATCCTTTTATTTTCTGGTTTAATTGTGTGCAATAGTTTCCTTGTTGAATTAGTCCAGATGCATGGTGGGCAGTTATTCTTCATGCATTTTCCTAGTTTAATTCATGTTAATGTGTAGCTTAGTAACTGTTTTCAATTTCATATGTGGCTCCTGTAATGTTTGCTTAGTTTTTCAACTAAGATATATATATATATATATATATATAGATATATATATATATATATATATATATATATATATATATATATATATATATATATATATATATATATATATATATATATGCAACAACACATTCTGCGAATAATTGTAATTGGTAGGTAATTCCACGTTAAAGCAGCCAGTTATTGAACCACATATATATGTATGTACATCCTGGGCCCACTTGGTATCGTTAGGTGATCAACCAACAACCTGACGCTGTTAAGTGTTAACTTGATCAGGAAGTGAAGTGAAACATAAACATTATTGTTTATGGGGATGTTAATTTGGAACAGAGTGTTTGAGAACGTTTATATCGTATTGTACAATTAAGTTTATATCGTATTGTAAAATAACATAAGAAAATGTGCCACTTGTGATTTGGTTTTCATTAAATTTACCCAGACACCACGACTGTAGTCATCAACAACTCATAGGAAGTAATGAGCACCATCTAATGAATGGTGTTGATAAAGACCTCAAATATCAACATGAATCAACCCAAAACACTTAATTATTCTGATGGGGAATGCCAGTTTGCTTTGTTTTGCTCTAATGCATGAATCACAAAAATTAATGATTAAATATATCTATTCTATCTAATTTTGGTATCTTTATGAGGATTGCATCTGGTGCGTGTCCTAATATTCTATGCCAAGTTTCTTGATGCGCCAAAACTGACAAGGCCACCTTTCTTTGTTTGAATTGCTCTGGATGATATTTTCCATCATGCTTCTTATCCGTCCCAATTAGGTTCTTCAAATGTAAGTCTTGTATTAAACATTTTTTCGGTTTAAAATCATCTCTGATAAACTGATGTTACCAATGCCTTTTACACAAACAGCTTCCCAGTTGAGAATAGTTATGGTGGAACAGTCTTTGTGCTTGTTGGTTGGTTTTAACCATCCTTCGTGGTGCGTGATATGTTCAGTTTCACCCGATTCAATGATCCAAGTCTTATGAGTATTTGTCTTGCCAGATATGTTGGCTAACGACGTTTTTTCTTTCCATTTTGTTGCTCATAAAATTTGCTAGATTTTGTCATATTCTTCTTTGGTGAAAGGAGAGTGTTTTTCTTCATTAACTGTCACTCCACGTGGTTGCTACCTTTGTTTCTCAGGTTGAGATCCCGTGTTGTTTGGTTTTATCGTTCACCATTCTGGATACCCACCCAACAAGTTCAAAACATCCGTTATCGTGTGTCGTGAGTTGTTGCAATGTTTGCACACTTTATCAACCGTCTTCCCACATCGTCGAGTGGAGACAACGTGAATTTGGTAAATCTACCTTGTGCTCTTTTTCACTCTTGAAAATAATAATGTGTCATTCTTTGTTCAAGGCATTTGATGTTAGGTCTTTTCAATGTGATATTTGCAAGTATGTGAAGCACACACGTATACCATTTCCTTTAGCAATAAAAGACCCCCTTTTCCTTTTTATTTAATCCATATTCATATTGGGGACCAACAATTCTATGTAACATAAGGAGCTACTTCTACGTGGTTTTAAGACCCTATTTCTTCAAGCTAGTGTGATGAAAGAAATGAAAAAGAAGGAGAAGAGTGCATGCTCCTAATGAAAAATTAAAAGAGGATGACGAGTTGATGTTTGGTTAGAAATTTTAAGACACTAGTTCTTCAAGGTCGGGATTGAATGTGATTCCACATTTAGTTAAGTGGTTAACCCTACCACAATCTGCATTGTTTTGATCTTAATTAACCCTTCTTAGCCAATCAATGAAGTTGATGTCAAGAAGTTTTACATGATGGGGGTTTCCAAGAAACAAAATACCGATCGATACAACATTAGTGCACTAAGAACGTGGACATTTTGCTTGCCCATTCGAGTTTTATCCATTCCATCATAATATAACAATATACAATCATATTGCGATTAAAAGGTTTACCATAATTATAGCATTATTTATGGATTCAATTAAATTTTCGGCTTATGTACGTATATGGATTCAATTCATTTATCGTATATAGAATGGTTATCTTTACCATAATTATAGCATTATTTATATCATAAATAGTTATTAATTATATCATATAATTATTGAATACTTATCCTTTCCATAGTTATCGCATTACTCATATGGAAATTAAATCAAATCTTGGAAACTTCCGCCGCGATCAGCCCCATCGGCTGTGTTCTTGATTCTGATCTCTTTCACCCAAAAAGTTAAAACTCGACTTGCACCACTCCCACCTAGTCCCTGCAAAGGCTACCGGTGTTGTTCTGTTTCCTAGATCCAAACTCCTTGAGAACGATCATATTCAAAATAAGTTTTCCATTTTCCTTTCAAAGAAAAACCTAAAACACCATGTGGCCTCCTTTTACCCGGTTGGGTTATTGCTGTAATTTGGTAAAAAGTTCCAGGATTAATATCCGTTGGAAATCTGTTAGATTGCTTGCCTATACAACATGCTCCGACTTGTCAGGCTCATCTTCGGATACCAATGTGTTATGTCATCCGTATGAAAAACTCGGTAAGTTTAAGGTAACTGCAACCCTAGACCAGTCGAAGAGAGAACGGAACAGTGCGTTGTTATTTGCCCGTCAATTGAAAGTGTTTGGTTTTAAACATGATGTTGAAAGTTACATGGCAATCATTCGATTACTGTGTCATTCGGGTATGGGTGTAAGGTTAAATCATTTGTTTATGTATGTCATTGATCAGAATATAAACAGGGAACGTGTTGCTTTTGAAATCTCCGATCTTTTAGAAGCGTTGATAGAGGAAAAATTGATAAAAAGCTGTGGATGTGTTGGTTAAGGTGTATGCAAGTGTTGGAAGGTTTGAGGAGGCGATGCACACCTTGTCAGAGATGAGAAGTAGGGCTGGACTTATGGTGTCAACACTAACATGTAATTTTGTATTAAAAGAGTTGATCGAGTGGGAGAAAGAGCATATGGTAGAGTCGGTTTACAGAGAACTGAAGAGGAAAGGGTTGATTCCGAATGTGTATACATATGAGATTCTGATTAAAGGGCGTTTTAGTATGGGTCGTTTGGAAAAAGCTTGGAATGTATTTGCACAAATGAGAGAGGCTGGAGTCAAACCTAATGCTTTCATTATCGGTACGTATATCCGCGAGCTTTGCTTGATGAGGCGAACTGATTTAGCCTTTCAGACGGTAAAGGCTTTTCAGGGACTTGAATGAGCCGGTTGATGTTTTTGCATATACTTGTGTCATTCGTGGTTTTGTAAGAGAGGGGAAGATACAAGATGCAGAAGATGTGTTACTTAATGACATGAAGATTAGAGAAGTTGTCCCTGATGAAGATTGTTATGGTGCATTAATTCTAGAGTATTTAAAGAAATGGGAGACTGCTAAGGCATTTGATCTCTGTGATGAAATGAAATCAAGAGTAGGTATTAAAGCCGATTATGTGCTTATGAGGTGCATGATACAATACTTGTGTGGTGTGGGAAGTCTTGATGAAGCTCTATCTTTTTTCAAGGAATTTATGCAAAAATCATCAAAGGTTTTCATTGATGGAGTCACGTTTGATTTTGCGATTGATGCTGCATGTAAACTAGGAAGAATGGAAGATGCGATGGAGTTGGTAGAAGAATGGATGAAAGGTAGGAAAATGAAGCTTTGGGAAATGCATTATAGGACTTTGATTGATGGGTATTGTCTACGAGGGGAACCTTGGAATGCATTATACATGTTTCAGGAAATGATGCGCAACGGGTATAGACCAGATTCCACCACTTATCATGTGCTTGCTCGTGGCTTCCAAGGATGCGGCGTTTCCCTTCCTCTCTGCATGTTATTCAAGCATACATGTTAAATAGAACCTTTTTAATTAAGTGGATGGCCATATACCATGCATATTGTTTACTTATATGCGTCCATTCCTATGTTAGCAGTTTAATCGCTCCTATAACTATATACTTTGCTGAGTTCACTTAACGGGTATTTGTTTCCTAATTAAAATGTGCAAGGAAGACTTGAACCAGAAACCTCCTTTATGGATTCTCTATCTTCTTTCTTATGTGCATTGCATGGACTACTTATTATTTATAGTTAAATAGAAGGTTGGTATCTAATGTTTTATTAGTACATAGCTTTGTTTCAACATGCTTAATCTTAATTTTTTCTTCTCTTAGCACCTTGTTTTTCCAAAGGCTTATGACATCATGGCATCATTCATTGTTAATCTTTGTTTTGAAGGTTGCCAAAACAACTATAAACCACATCTAATGACCAACAAAGTCATCAACAATCAATGTTTTAAAAACCGGTTTTTTAGTTGAACCGGTATCGTGACCGGTTTCCGGTTCAACCGCCGGGTCAACCGGTTTCTATGGTTTCCATGTTTTTTTCTATTTTCCTACACACACACACACACACACACACACACACACACATATATATATATATATATATATATATATATATATATATATATATATATATATATATATAGGGTGAGGTTCAATAGAGAACCATAATTAACCAAGAACCAAGGAACCAATCGTGAGCGTCGGAAATCATAACGATCAACGGCCAAGGAAATAGATGTACACTTTTACATTCGACGCACACACACCAGATTATACCAAAAAATCCACCCTTTAAAAAAACCCACCACTTTTTTTCGTTTAAAATTTTTTTTAGACCATATTTTTTATCGAAAAAAAACCCGAATATACCGTTGTTCACGATTTTTTTGTCCTCTTTCCATAGAGATCCATGATGATATATAAAAAACAAACTTTTTTTTTTCGAAAAAAACCCACTTCATTTCTTTGATGAAAAAAGTTAAGGTCTATTTTTTTATAGAATAAAAATTAATAAATATATCAAAATTCATATTTTTTGTACGTTTTAAACATATATTCATATTCATGTTAAAAAAAAAAAAAACGATATTTCAGTTCAGATTCACATTGTGAACATGTTCAGATTCATATTGTAAACCTGTTCAGATTCACAATGTGCATAATAATAAATTAGATTCACAGTGTGAATCTGAACTGATCGGAGCTTTTTCACATTGTGAATGTTAAAATTTGAAATTTTTACAGTTTAGATTCATAGTGTGAATCTACACTGAACAAGGGTTTTTTTTTTTTTTTTTTTTTTTTTTTTTTTTTTTTTATGAACCTTCTCAGATTCACAATGTGAATCTGAACTGTTCGAGATTTTTCATATTGTGAATGTTAAAAATTGAAATATTTACAGTCTAGATTCACAGTGTGAATCTACACTGTTCGAGTTTTTTTTTTTTTTTTTTTAATTATTTATCGGTGTTGATGTTTATTAATAGAGTACAAAAAATTAATATTTTTGCTATAATTAGTTTTTTTTTTTGATAAAATTAAACTTAAATATTGAAAAAACTAAGAAAAGTAAGTGGGTTTTTTTCGAAAAAAAAGTTCGTTTTTTATATATCATCATGGATCTCTATGGAAAGATGACGAAAAATCGTGAACAACGGTATATTCGGTTTTTTTTTTCGATAGAAAACTTGGCCTAAAAAAAATTTAAATGAAAAAAAAAGTATGTGGGTTTTGTTATATATATATATATATATATATATATATATATATATATATATATATATATATAAAAGTTCAATAGAGAACCATTATTAATCAAGTAACCAAGGAACCAATCCAAAGCGTCGGAATTTAAAGCGATCAACGGTAAAAGGAAGGGTTGTAAACTTTTATAATGGACGCACATGTACCGGATTATAACAAAACCCATTTTCTTTCTTTTTTCATTTAAAATTTGTTTTAGGCCAAGTTTTTAATCGAAAAAAAAACCGAATATACCGTTATTCACGATTTTTCGTCCTCTTTCCATATAGATCCATGATGATATATAAAAAACGAATTTTTTTTTCGAAAAAAACTCACTTAATTTTCTAAGTTTTTTCAATATTTAAGTTTATTTTTATCAAAAAAAAAACTAATTATACAAAAAATATTAATTTTTTGTACTCTATTAATAAACATCAACAAAGAATTAAAAAAAAAAACCATCGAACAGTGTAGATTCACACCGTGAATCTAAACTGTAAATATTTCAATTTTTAACATTCACAATATGAAAAATCTCGAACAGTTCAGATTCACATTGTGAATCTGAATTATTATTATACACACTGTGAATCTAAGAAAGTTCATAAAAAAAAAAGAACCTCGATCAGTGTAGATTCACATTGTGAATCCAAACGGTAAATATTTCAAATTTTAACATTCACAATTTGAAAAAGCTCCGATCAGTTCAGATTCACACTGTGAATCTGACTTATTATTATGCATATTGTGAATCTGAGGAGGTTCACAATGTGAATCTGAACAGGTTTACAATATGAATCTGAACAGAAATATCGTTTTTTTTTAAACATGAATATGAATCTATGTTTAAAAAATACAAAAAATATGAATTTTGATATATTTATTAATTTTTTTTCTATAAAAAAATAAACCGTAACTTTTTTCATCAAAGAAATGAAGTGAGTTTTTTTCAAAAAAAAAAAGTTCGTTTTTTATATATCATCATGTATCTCTATGGAAAGAGGACGAAAAATCGTGAACAACGGTATATTCGATTTTTTTTTTCGATAAAAAACATGCTTAAAAAAAAATTTAAATGAAAAAAAGTGGTGGGTTTTTTTGTAAAGGGTGGATTTTTTGGTATAATCCGGTGTGTGTGCGTCCAATGTAAAAGTGTACATCTATTTCCTTGGCCGTTGATCGTTATGATTTCCGACGCTCACGATTGGTTCATTGGTTCCTTGGTTAATTATGGTTCTCTATTGAACTTCACCCTATATATATATATATATATATATATATATATATATATATATATATATATTATATATATATATAAATTTTGATGTTTACAAATTAAAAATTAAAAATACACATAAAAATAAGTTGTAGATGAATCCAAATACATTAAAATAACACATAGCCATACGTTTTTGTGTTTTACATTAATCCACATACGTCAAAAAAAAAATAAAGTATAATACTGTAGCGAAATATAGTTTTAAATGAATACAAACACATCAAAAAAGTTTATAACATTTACCATATGTTTTTATTTAGAGATAACTAAATAGATATGAAAAAAAAAATCACCAAAATTTATTATGTAAATTATTCTTTTTCATGTATTTTTATTCGGTTTAACCGGTTTATTTTGACCGGTTCAACTGTTTTTTTCTAAAAACCGGCCGGTTCAATCCGGTTCAGAAATCAATGTAAAACCAGTGATAGTTGAACCGCTCTCTCTCCCAGTTTCCGGTCCAACCGGTTCGACCGGCCGGTTCAAACCGGTTTTTAAAACATTGTCAACAATCTACTTAGACACACACACACACACACACACACACACACACACATATATATATATATATATATATATATATATATATATATATATATATATATAGAGAGAGAGAGAGAGAGAGAGAGAGAGAGGTAAGTTAATTCGAGAACACTAAAAAGGTTGAGAACGCGCTCTTTTCCGTCTAAATATGAAGATCTAAGGTTAATACAAATATGTATCATTTATGTAAATTTTAAAACTAAGTGGCACCAATTTGTAAATATTTAATAGTGATCAAGTGTAGTATAGGAAATTTGGTTCTTCCACAAAATCACAGAGGATATACGGTTCGATTAATTCAGCTTAATTATTTCTTTATATTTATCTTGATTGACCACCAAAAAAAACAAACCCCAATTACCTTCATCGTCTACCCCTGTTCTCCATCACCACCATCACGCAATCTCAACCCCAACTACACAACCCAACCGCCATCATCAAATCGAACCCATCTCTTGACAAACAAAGCATCCGACACAGGTTCATCACGTTGCAATTAACAAAGCATTGCACATATTCCAGTTCTTATAATTTTTATGTGGTTTATTTTACGAATTTGATGGGATATAAACATTCAAGTTTGTATTCGATTTATATGTTTTAGCGTCTTTACAATAGGAAGCAATTTTCAATGAAATGCTTTGATTGGTTTTAATAAGAGCAATCCAAACCTTACTCAAATCCACGTGGCCCTAAATACACGAATCAATTAAAGTAAAATGGTGTATTGCCTTATAATTTGTTCAATTCTACATTTGTTAAATTATTGAATCTCTAAATTTATTTTATAGTTTTGTTTTTACATTTATATATGTTTTTGTATTTTCTTGTTTTTTATTGGTTAATTCTTTTATCAATATTTGTGTTTATAGCTTAGTTTGCAAACAGTTTTGTAGCTGCAATCTAATACAATCTTAATGTATTATAATGGGTTGTAGTTGGTAATTTCCAAAAAAAGCGGTTGTAACAGTGCCGTCGAAAGGAACAGAAATACTTTTTATTTGTTTATGATTAAAATTGTATTCGTATTTTGTATATTTATCTTGTGATTTGTTAATTTACAATTACAATTGTATTTATGTATTATATACTACTAGTTCACGGGTTATAAAATTAATTAAACTTTTATAATAAAAATTTATAATTCTTAATCAATTATTTTAAATAAATTATTAATTAATAGATATATAAATTTTTTAAAGTTATTATAACTTCAAATTTAACATATAATTAGAAAATATAAATTTGAATTTTGAAATGAGTTGCCTAATATATATCTACATGACACATAACATAATATTAATGAGGAGTTGTATTAGAGTGACACTTGTCAAAAGGAGATTAACACTATTTATTTATTAGAATAGAGATTCATTTAGACAAATTAAAAGGAAAAAGAGGCATAGTCCATTGATAGATGAAGGAAGTAGAGACTTG